AACTCCAAGGCGGCGAAGCCCAGCGCGAGGCCATGCTGGTGGTGCTGGCCGAAGGCCGTTTGACCGACGCCTGTTTGGTGCACTTTGTCGAGGAAGATACACCGGCGTTTGAGCTCTTTTGCAAGGCCAACCCCGCCTCCCCGGCCCCCAATCGGCTTCTGCGCGTTCACATTTTTCCCCCATCCCGTCATGGCTTCCAGCCCTTAGTCCTCCAGGCCGACCTTTTAACCCCCGCCAGGCTCATCGAGGCGGTGCGGATCTTCCACCACGCCGGGCCTCCGATTATCTCAGGCGTGAAGGACCGCATGATGGAGGAGATTCCCGCCATGAATCGGGAGGCTCTGCGCGCACAGGAACAGCAAAAACGCGAGCGCGGCTTGCCGGGGCGATCCCCTTTGTTGGCGACTTCCGCGAGCGCCTCGAAAGAGGATTTTCCCTCTCAAAAAGCCGACGCGTCCTCTAATTCGGGCCTTAAACCGGAGGGATTGTCTTCTGGGGATGTGGGGATTAAAATGGTGGATGGGATGCACCGCGTTCACATCGAAGGCCTCCCGGAAGGGCGAAAGAAAATGATGTTGACGTCCCCTAGCATGACGCTGCGCACGGTATGGCTGGACGTCTCGCGGCAGGTGGAGGCGGCGGCGGCGAAGGAACCGTGGGATAAACCCGGCCCCGAAGCCACGGCGCGCTTTGCCTTCCCAAGCGGTAAAGCCCCGAAATTTTACCTGCGAATAAATTCAACCTCGGAGAGCACGATGGAGGTGCATACTATCGAGGACGCCAGTAAAATCACCCTGCAGGACTTTCCAAGTGGGACCCGAATTGGGGTGCACTATGTCGAGACCGCGGCCTCGTGCGAAGACGAGAATGGAAAAAATAAAAAACTCCCCGTCAACCCAAATTCCAAGCATGATGGTGAGCTCAACGAAGAAAAGGCTACTTCGGTAATGATCTGTGATAGCGCCAAATGCTGTCGTGTGGCCTTTCCCCAGAAAGAAACGCAGCTGAAGGTGCCGCGAACGGAAGAAACCCCCTCGCAAGCCGCAGTGAGGGTGGATTCCCCAGGGGATTTCAGAAAAAGTAACGAACCCGACGACGCGAAAAACGCGACCTCGTCTGCGGGGGGAGGGGGGTGGATTGATATTCGCTGTACTCTCCCCGATGGGCGAACAACGACGATCCCCGGGCTGAACCCCAACGAGGACACGTTAAAAACATCGGTGCGGCCGGTGATTGCGCAGGCGCTCGGGCATGCCGATTTCCTTTTCGCCAGGCCCTACCCCCCGAAACGCTTTAGTCTTGACGAGGATGAACATCGCCCGCTTTCGCAAATCGAATTGAGGGTTTCCTCGACTTTGCGGGTGATCCCAAACTCAGCAGGGTCGGGCTCCCGGCCCGCACAGGCGAAAGACCCCAAACAAGCCTCGCCGACCCTCATTCACCCACGCGTGGTGGCGGCCTCGAGTGAATTATTTAATCGATTTTCGCGTTTATTTCCACTGGGCGGCCGCGCCAATCCGCCCCCCCCTTCACGAGAACCCTCTCACCGACCCCAATCCGGCGCCCCGGGGGGATTTCAAAGTATGCGCCATATCCGCGAGGCCGAAGAGGAAAAAGAACGTCAAATGGCCCTCGAAATGCTTCAGATGGAGCAGCGCGCGCGGCGGATGGGATTTTCCCCCTCAGAGGACCCCAAAACGATGGATGAGCCGAAGAAAAAAAAACCCAATCACTACTTCGGGGGCGACTCCACCGAGTTGATAGCCCCACCAATGAATGAGGACCGCGGCTCTGGGGGAAATGGAAACGAGGAAACGCCGCACAACAGTGGGAGTCCGCAAGCAAACCCGGGAATGCACATCCCATTCTCCGGCACCGGGCGCCGATTAGCAGATGAATCCTCAGTGCAAGAATCAGGTGACCCAAAATCGGATGAATCCGATTTTAAAAAATCTTAGATAGTGCAACATCAAATGGAAACAAGCAGAACAAGATCAATAAATATGCTGAAGTCTAAATGAATAAAAAATGGATTTTCTCAAATTTATTCGCGTTTGTTTCCTAAGGAAATAATAAGTATCTAAAGGGTCTCCGAGAAAAGGTGGAAAGGATAAATTATGGATGAAAAAAAGGAGAAAGGGTAATGGGAGATGACCACACCAAAGAAAGGATTTGAAAAAGGAATACATCATTATTTTAAAGTTGGATACGCAAGATTATGCATATACGTAAAGAAATGTGAAAATGCACGGATAAATGCTCCTGTGTATATAGTTCGGAATGATCAGGTAATTTTTGTTGGGATAGTTGCAAAATAACCTTGAACTAGATCGATGTTTATCATATGTTCTTTATTGAAGAAATAAAAACTATAACATAATAATAATAAATTAAAATTCACCTCCATGAATATGTATTTAAAGAATAAAGTAACGCTTCGTATTTTTTCTTTCTTAAATCCTCATTTAAATTAGAAAAGCAACTCTCAATGAACATGAGAATGCTCTTACAAAAAAAAATACAAGCTTCGTAAAACATAAAAAGCATAAAACTTCTCAGTGTGAAAATGATCTTAGGTGACATAATCTCAAAGCTAATACGAACCTAGGCAAG